GTGGCGGGGGTTGGTCCGGGGCGGGGTGGTGCGGGCCGGGGTGGGAAGAGCCGTTATGCAGCCGTCGGCCTGGCCTATCGGATATGAGTCAAGGCCACAAAGGGTCAGTCCGCCGCAGGCGTGCAGGCGCTACGCTTAGCTACGCTTAGCTACGCCAGCCTACGCCTCCCCTGCACGCAGAGCAAAGACTAGACGAGGCAAAAGCACACGCCGCACCCTTGCGCAACGTGCGTGCCGGAAGCGTTGACCGTTTTATTGACACGAGTCAGTGGGCCACCACTGCCGCCGTGAGGAAGGGTCGGGTTCGGGTTGATGTAGGAGGAAAAGCGTCGGAGAGGAATTTGGGCCAAAGTGTAATGTGCGTGTTTGAATTGGAAATTGGGTGCTTGACAATGATATTACTTTGTCAGAGATATGTTTGCGGATGTTCTCGCCAAACGAACAGGAACCTTTACTACGGATAAAGGCGTTGTCGCACACTCACACTCAGACCAATACACACACACGCACGCAGCACGCACTCATACTACCCGGACACTACTAGCAAAGGCACCTTTGGAAAAACACATAGGCAACCAATGCTTGTACACGTGCACGCACACACACACACACTCACACACATACTGTCGCACTCGCGTCAACACTTCCACGTTCGCGGCGGTGAACTTCCCGTGACCGCCTAATGTGGGCGCAGCGCCGAGTATTGTCCTCTCCTCGAACTCGGCGGCGACGGTCAAGTGGTACTTCTCCGAGCGGGTGATGGCGCCGCAGAGAGAGAGGCCCGCGGGGAACGCGCAGCGCAGGTGCGCTTAAACCGCGTCGATAACGAAGCGAACCTTTCCAGGAGACGTTCGCGCGGCCCCGCGCCGCCCCGCGCCCGCCCTGGGGGGTCACGCCGTGGTCACGTGGGCTGTTGTCGCCGCCGGTCGGCCGAAAAATGCCTGTGTAATGAAACACTGCTGCTGCCACGCACCGGCCGCCGAGCCGGCCGCGGCCCCGGGGCGCACGCACAGCCTAACTAGCGCTAATGACTGGACACTTTTAATGGCGAGGGAGTGCGGCGCCATTCCAGCGCTTCCGAGCCAGAAGCGCGCGACACTTCGCCTTACCCCAACCGCCTGTTTGTTTTTGCGTTAATTTCTCGATTGCTGCGGTAGTTATCTCTCGGCCGCTGCCAGTCGGAAGTGGCCGGGTACGAGCGCTTAGCGCTCTCACCAGCCGCGACGACAAGCGAATTATATTTTTCAAACGTTTTAATTGAGGCGGGGTCATCATTGCGAAGTTTCCCGTTCTACTACTGGTGTGTGGTTAGTGCGGCTCAACTGCTTATTAGTGATTAGTGCGGGGGAAGAGGGCCACGGAGCGGCTGAACTTGAACCGACACGCCGGACGTATCGTGACCCCGCAACATACGCAGATCCCCTTGGACTTGTTCAATTAAAGCCGTGCGACTCAACATCTTGAGCGAATCCGATAAAGCACTGCTGATCTGTGATTGACACTGACACCTTGTGGGCTGCGGCTGAGTGGTCTGGGTAAAGGCGTACGTGCCGTCATCCCGTCATATGTCGTCGTCTTGATAAGCCGGCCTTTTCCTAAACGCGTCATTTGTGAGCCCTAATCAAGTATATCGAGAGC